TATTAATAATAATTGTGTTAATATTATTTTTAATAGTTTTTATGATTTCTACATTGTCAGTCCTTTTTTTCTGCTCTGTTGTCAACATGTACAGTAATGGGAAATCCAGACTCTTGACCGTGGGCGTAACCACCATAGGCACCGGGTGGTCAACTGAAGCAGAAAAAAAGACCTTTAAAAATGTGTCCCCCCACCTTTAAGATGGTGATTATGCCCTTGTCTTGACCGTTTAGCGATAGCCATTAGCTTCACCAGTCACATGGTCACATGGTTTCTGCGCACTACAGCTGTTCTATAGAACCTTCTTGGTTGGAACAAACACTTCCTAATAATAGTGTGTTTCATTTGTACTCAAAAAATCCCATGTCCAAGTAACTGGAATGCCTTCYAATATCTGAATTTTGTCGAAGAATGTCAGGGACCAGCTCTAACCCAAATCCAAAATATCTGCTTCATACAGTTGTGACAGTCAGAATTTTTTTTACCAACTTCATTTATTTGGAAAAATGTTTCCACACAGTTTGAATGCTCAGTAATGTTGTTAACGTGTATTGCTAATATTAGCCTGTTTACTGAGCAAAACAACTGACCCGTCCTACAGGCTTACCAGCTRGCACCTAGTTACAGTAAATGTTTTGACTTCCAAAGGCAACTGAGCGTAAAACACCAAGCAATGGCGGTGAAGGGTGATTTAGAGTTGTTTTGGAACCACAAGAACTTGCAGTCGAGTCAACCAACAACTCCTGAGTAGACCAAAGAACTAGTGTCAAATGTGAGGGTGTCTGACTGAGCAATCCCAAACACAACAGATAATCTACAGCTGAACGGCTGACAAAAWTTTTTTTTAATCCAATGGCCCAGTTGAAGTCCAGACCCACGTCTAATTGAAATGCAGTGGCCGGGCCTTAAAGCTGTGTAGAAGCCAACAATGGCAAACCTCCATGACCTAATGTAAAGAAAGAGCAGGCTAAGATTCCTCCACACGGTCGATCAAAGCTCTGAACGATTTATCAGTCATAGCATCTCCAGCTAGAAGTGATGAAAAGTGAGGATGATGTTGTTTTCCTCGTAAATGAAAAAGGCGGGAGGAAGTTGTTTTCCTTGTAGGCCTAAAAGAAAGAAAAAGGTGCTGGTGGGAGGAGTTGTCTACTTAAAATGATTTATCAGAGGGGCCAATTACAGCATTAACAGCTGATGACATAAATATGCTACTTAAGAGTAAAAAACACCAGACTTTATTCATCACATTTCAATCTTGGCATCAACCTTGTGTATTTTGGTCATGGTCAAAGTAGATAAATGCAGCGGTGCCACAAATGCGAAGGCGAATACGGCACACGACGAGACGAAGCACAAGCTCTGCCCACTGTGCGCAATGCTTCAATTGGTCAGGTCTCAACTTCCAACTTTTTGAATCTGATCCTATTCGCACTCCACTGCGTGTGGACCAGTTTGACAAAAACCTTAATGACCCTCAGGAGGGAGGGGAGGAAGAGTGATTAGTGCAAGTTCAGCCCACTACCGTTTTAAAAGCTTAGAACACCACAAATTTTCAGTTTAATCTGATTAAACAACATAAAAAAAAATACGAAAAGACTTTTTTTTTTTCCAAGGACGAGTGGAGTGGGGGTCAGTATTACAGGCCAGAAGACATCAAGGCAGGGATGAAGATGGCAGGTTTACGCAGTGCTTCAAGTTTCTACAGATCTCTGTAAAATCTGTCTTTCAACTCGTGGCCTGGACCAATCAGCGTCCACTTCAGGTGAGCACCTGCTCTCCATCAGGCTTTTCATCTCAAACATGCCATAAAAAAACAGCCTTCACGAGAAAGGTGGGTTTGTTAAAACCATTCTCAGCATTTGCATAAACTTGGCAAACGCCTTTCATCAGAAACCAGTGATGAGACTTCCTTTGTGGCACACTTTAATCCCTTTCATGTCAGCTAAATTCTTCACATCAGTTTCCTTTGTTCAGAATTCAAAAGCTGTTTATTTCTTCTTAGAGAAGCTGCTGCTTTTTTTGGCTTCACGTTACTCACAATCTGTTCAACAGATCAAAAAGACTTAGTTCAGTAGATAAAATATTTTGCCTTAAAAAAAAGACAAGATGGTGCAAAAGCCAAACCTGAATTTTGGATTTAAACAAAAACAATTTTTAAAGTGTTTATTCATTTTTTTTTTTCAAATGATGGTACAGACAACATGAAAGCACAGAGAGGAAGGGAACTGAAATCATCCAGTACACGGATAATGCAAGGCAAGGGCTGAGGGGCAAGCAAGAGTACCAAATGGAGTAAAATATCGTATCAAAAATTTTATTCATTTTGTTCATATATATATATATATTTATATAGGACTGATAATTCTCTTTAACGATGCAAAGCAAGGAATGCCCTTTTTTGTCATTTATCATTAGCCTTGGCTTTCCCAATGTAGACTTTAATCCTCATCCAAAACCGAAAATTAAAAACAAAATAAAACAAAATAAAATAAAAAAAAGGAAAAAAAATGAAACAAAAACAGAAAAAGCTGGACACAATTTCTTTTATTTTGGGAGGCTGGGTGAGGGGTGCCCTGAAGTCCTGTCCGATGTGGCGTTGAGTTTATTAGTGGCGCATTTCGAGCGTTTCCACCGGAGTTTGGATCTCTTGAGCAATGGTTCGACCTCAACGAGAGAATGTCTTTCCACTGAAAAAAATTAATAAATAAAAATAAATCTTTGTTTCAACATGAAAATATCCACGCTTTCTAGATTTGTCATGAGGAAACATTCTGCAGGAAGGAAACCAGAAAAATCCCTTCTGCTGATGAAGACAACTGAACAGATAATGATCCAGCAACTGTGGTATGTTTTCATCTATCGTTTTTCTGATTGTTCTGTGATTGATGAGTTTCATTTCCATTTTATACACCTGAGTTTCTGGTATCACGCGTTTTAAAGAATTCACGAGAAAACTACTCAAAGAGCTGCTTCCTTCAGTTACACAATGCCCACGGAACGTGTAGTCCAACAGGGTGGGTTTTTAAACGACTCTTTATTGGGTTTAGCTGGAAAAGCTCAGTTCTGACTCATTTTCAACACACCTGGAAAATAAAACAAAGCTCTGAAAGATGTAGAGATAATGTATCTCAAGTCTGAATCTGGTTACCTTTCAAACAGAAAGCTCCTTTCAGGGGATAATGTTTGTCATTCATGCACAGGTGTTTGTACATGAAGTCAAAATGTTCAATGAAAATAAGGTCAACACGAGTAAACAAAGACCTGAAGCCACATTGTTTTGTTGTGGTTTGGATTAGAACCTCTGATCTGCGCTGCCGAGTTGGTGAGAAAACAAGAGGCTACTTACGAAATGGTCTTCATCTCCTTCTTCTCGGCGTCGGGCCGCGCGCGGTTCAGCACCTTGAGGAAATCTGACGTCTTGGCTCTCATACGTGTGTGAATGTAGGCCTGGGAACAAGGAGGAGATTCCACTGAAAAATAAGATCTGATCAAAACTCTCAAGATTTACAGATAGCAGGAGGCTTTTAGCTCATTTGTGCCACTGGCAAGGTTTCAAACCAACAACAGAGACATTTTAGTTTTGAAATGTGTTTGGAACAGTGAGCTACAGAGATGGTACGAGATAGCCTTCACTTACAGCAGCTCATAAATCTTATGTTCACTCTCAGGTAAAACAACCAACAATCACTTCTTTTCCTATTCATTACATACCTCTGAATGTAATTTACTACATAAAACACCTTAATTGTGGTCAAAGGCAGTTCAAAAACCAGTCTGATCACTGAGCGTGACAAGTCCTTTAAATGTAACCGTTGTTGGACCTTTATTCAACAAGCCACTGAAGAGCAGAAAAAACTTGTGGCCCTTTAAAACTAGATTTACTTTGACAGATTCCTCTTTCATTTTCACTCAGCTGTGTCATGAACTGCAGCCAAAACATTCCTGGGCTCAAGTGTTTGATTTTGCTTACAAATAAGAGCAGGTGGCACATTTTGGAGTGTAGACATCAATAACAGAACATTTGACTACACGTCTAAAAGCCATAACTGCTAAGTGGGAATATTTAAAGTGTTTGCAAATCATTGCAACCTCGTTTCAAAGTGTGTGATTTAGATTTTCGAACGTGGTGGGAAGTAACTCACCTTAGAGCACTTTATGTGGTAGTGCAGGTAGTCCCTGAAGGTGTGGATGAGGTTGATGGTGTTGTCTCTGGCATTGGCATTGGTGTGACGAGGAAACAGCACTTCAAATGGACAGAATGCCAAATTAAACGTCTGAATGTGGGGTGAGGTCAGATTAAGGGCAAAGATTATGGCGGTACTGACCGAAGGTGATGTATCCGATGTTGTCCCCGATGGCGGCGTCCGTGTCCTTCAGCTCCAGGGGCGGCTCCCTGTGGCTGAACAGCACCTGGGGGGCCGTGTGGCTGGCTCGCCGACCCTCTTTAAACTCCTAAACGCAAGAAAGGCACTATTTTAAAGCTTCGATTCATTAGGGACACATTACATCAGTGGTTCWCAAACTTTTCAGCTTTTGACCCACAAAATCCCAGCAGCAGAAACCTGTGCCCCCAGCTGTGTTTGCTTGATAAACATTATTTTCACGTCAAATAAACAAGAGCATAGCAACATTATTTATCACATTATTTTTGTCCATTTTAAGTACACTAATCGTTCTTTTGTAACAACAAAGGCAAAAAAAACTGCTGCTAGTTGTCATTTTTTAGTGTAATTAATTCAGAAAATGTTTTCAGGACCCCACCTTGATGTTTCAGGACCCCACTGTGGGTCCCGACCCCAACTTTGGGAAACACTGCATACATGATGCATAAAGAAAGTTCCAAGTTAAGTTAGTCTGAAGTAAGTTTGAATACACCAACATATTGGGATCAATTGTCTGTCTAAAAGCAGTGCTTTTAATAATAGTTAGCTTAGTAAAAATGTGTTTAACAGCAAACAAATCAGCTTTAAAATAAAACTAATTGAATCAGTTTTACCTTAATGATAACTTAGTCACTTGTTACTACAATTAGCAAACAAATACCATACAATTGTGTTGGCTTGGTTGCTATTCAACTAACAAAGAAAACTAGTGGGTTATGCACCATTTTCCAGCAAAAAGCAAGGTTAAAAAACCTTTTTATTTACCTGATTTCTACCAACAGCTTAACTAGCCCTAAATTTCATTCTACAGAGTAATTAAAAGGCAATCTTTCCATTATTCTGACATGAAAGTGAAATAAAATGAAATTTGATTAAAAGCTGTGCAAGAAGAAGCAATACATTAAAATAAGTTTCAACTTGGCTCATCAACTTTAATATTTTGTTCTGCACTTGATTTGTTATGACAGACTATTATTCTCCTACAATGGTTCAGTTTGATGCATTTAATAATACATTTTATTTATAAAGTGCCTTTCAGGACACCCAAGGACAAAAAACATTAGTCTGAAACATATTGAAAATGCTCAAATGGCTGCTGTAAACACTCTGCAGCCATATATTTTACAAGAAAAGAACATTTTTATTTAATTTAACCTAGTTTAAAATGAGGTGGAGCATCATGTTTTAAACAACACATTACATCAAATCGGGTGTTAAGTCATATTTGGTCAAACTAATTAAACCTGTTTTCAACTTTCTGTTTTTTTAAACATACATTTTGATCCCTGGGCAATCCTGGTATCATGAGAGGTTGGAGAAGACCACCAAATCGTTTTGCTAACTGGGAAGACCCCAAGAAAATTGGTCTGAATTTTATTTTTTCTGTATTCTAAATAGGATTTCTTGATGCTATTTAAAAAAGAAACTCAAACTATATTTGAGCATTGGGATTTCTCAGCTGGTAATGAAAATAGTTGTGCTAGCGAGAAGGGAACAACAAACATTTGGAGCTTTTTTTATTTTGCTCTAAATCATCAGTTGTTGGTACTGCTCAGAAAAGTGCTTTAAAATATTATTTAGGATTATATTTCAAACATTTCCTTCAAGAGATTTGAGTGATTAGCGGATAAGGTATTTATTTATTCCTCATATTTTAACAAATTTCTTAAACATTGCACTTTAGCTGGGTATATTTCACAACACTACCTTGAGAYTTAATCCTTGGTTTGAYATAAAGGGTAACAAAAATGACGTAATCTTCACACATCAAGTCAATAATTTATGGCAAAATGAGCTGTTAAGACAAATTTATGCCTCCCGGGGATTTGCGTATTCAATTTACTGTCCAATTTCACTGGACTGTGAAATGTGAAACTATGACATCTTGTTACTTTCAAGTCAAACTTTTAAAGAGAAAAGGACCAATGTGGGAAAGAGTAAGTGCTGCGACTTGAAAATCTTAATGAAGCCAGTATGGAAGTAGATCTTGGGTCGCCTCGCTCACCTGCATGAAGACTTTGCCAATGATGACGTCATCGTCGTCTTTAAACACCGTGCTGAAAACCACCGTCACTCTGTCTTTCTTGGCCTCCACGTACCTGAGAAGGCAAAAAGATGACAGGGAAATTAAAACTAGAGGAGAAAAACATCCAAAACCCAGGAAGGGATTGGACTCAAACTGATAAGAAAAACACCAGCTATAAAACAAGAACACACAAACGCTCGATACTCAAATCTTTTTTGAACCTACATTGACTCATCATCTCTGTAGTGGACCACGGCCCTCTTCTCGCCCTCTTTGCCTTCCTCCTGGAACTTGAAGTACTTTTCAAACACCGAGGCGAAGCAGTTCCTCTTGAGCATGCCTGCCTGGTGGATCACCTCATCTTTGTTGGCTGGTAGGGCCTCCAGGTCGTAGAGCAGAGACACGTTGTAGCCTGAAAGGAAGAAACAATAAAAAACATCCCTGAGTGGACTGCAGTTCAACTTTTAATTATGGTCGTCTAATTAAATAAGCATGAAGTATGATGACCTGGTAGAATGAGTTCATAAAAGCCGACGTTAAATGTTAGTGATGCAAAAGAACTACAACTTTATAGAAAAATCACATAATTTTAGGTTTTAGCAAGAGTTCCTCACTTATGTAGGCGTCCCCACTATGAAGTAGAGACCTGGCTGTTTACAGGCATGTACAGGACTTTATCAGCTGCCTCATGAGTAGAAAACATTGGTTTACATTTAGACTTCAGGTATGTTTTATTAAGTCTGCATCTGCAAAATCAGCTCTATAARTACGTGCAGCACATGTCAAACTAAAGGTCTGTGGGCCAAATGTGGCCCACCTCAGCATTTTATTGAATTTGACATCCCAAATGTACAGGGACAGATACTGGATTGTAAATGGGTTAAAAAAGGATCAAAGTCCAAAGATAGACCMCAAAATCTAAACATTATAAAAAATAGCTCAGTACTGTAGGTAGCAGATTGATGCAAGCTTAAAAGAAACTGACACTCATGACGTAAATAACAAAACCGCCAACAAACAAACAAAAAAGAAGAATTACTACGTTTCAGTTTGTGTCATTCTAAAATAAGCTCAGTAACAAAACTTACCAGCCTCTGGTGGAACCAAGAAGTTCCCATAGGCCCTCTTGAGCAGCTGTAATTAAACAAACACTTGTTTGTGTGGTTTTCACAGAAAGAACAAAACACAGGTCAAGAAGACAATCAGAGTTTGGAAGTGGGGAATAAAAAAAGTGTCTAAATTGTGGTAGAGTTGACGCCGTTTGTGCGGCTCAGAGCCATATTTAGGTTTTTATGAGGCACAAGGCTTGACAGATCTTCGCAGCTTGTGTGAAATCACAAGATGGAGGAGGAGGTGTAATAAACAGCCCAACAGTGATAAGATCAGTGCAGGTAAACACAGGGCTGTACAGTAAAAGGGCAGGAATGTACAGGAGGTAACTGAGAGACTGGTCGCTGTCACTATCAGACGCCAGTTAGGAATGACGATAACGTACTATAAAACTGTTTGTCCAGRCTTCCTCATTTTTTCTGTCAAAATTTCAGAGCTGCGAACATTTCTAATGAAAACCAGATGAGAGTGTGTGAGAAACGCCCCCTGCGACTCACTTCCCTGACACGCAGAGTGACTGAACTGGTAAACCTGTCACTCATCCCCATACTTCTGAGCTCAAAGGAGCGAGGGGTGGTGGTGGTGGGGGGGGTGTCTGAGCGGCTGCCAAGACATTGGGGAAAAAAAACAAAAAAAACGTCTGTCTSTCTGCTGCTTGCTCGCAGTCGGCACTTCCTTGCCTGGGGTGAGTCACTCGAGCTCACTTCCTGTTTCAGCCTGCAGCCGCAGCAGCTGCTTTCTTCCTTACATGGCAACAGAGCGCTGCCACTGTAGGTGTGTGCTGCGAGCGCAGAGATGACCTCTTTGCTTCCTAAATCATTACTTCAACATTTGTCAGTTTTTACAGCACTCAGCACTCACACAGTGACAGTATTTGTTGCACTTAAAGAGTTCCCTACACGATTTATCCTTACACAAAAATGTCATACATTTCTACGTTTTGAAATCTCTCTTTTTTTTAACGTTTGTTTCACCTCGTCAGCTCCGTGCTCCTGCAGCTCCTTGTAGAACTTCAGGGAGATGCTGATCATCACTTTGGTCTTGTCCCCGTTGGGGTTGGAGATGTGGTACAAGACGCCATCAAAATCTGCAGGACAGAGAAACAAAATGAGCACCTGCTGGCCGTGAAAGGGTTCTTGTGTTTTTTTGACACATTTTGTATTTGGACAATAGGAAATACTGTCTTAGCCAAGTGGATAATAGGAAATGACTGATGAGAGACTAAATACATTTAATGTAATTGCAAACATTTGTTTCTGCTTGTACTTGGCTGCAATGTTACACTAAAGCTGTGTTTCCCAAAGTTGGGGTCGGGACCCAAAGTGGGGTCCCKAAACATCAAGGTGGGGTCCTGAAAAKATTTTCTGAATTAATTACATTTTTGCCTTMGTTGTYACAAAGGAGTGAGGTTAGTCTATTTAAAATGGATAAATGTAGTATAAAAATATTGTTACTATGCCCATGTTTTGTTGACCTGATACAAATGTTTATCCTCCAAAAATAGTTGGGGGCACAGRTCTCTGCTACTGTTATTTTGTGGGTCAAAAGCTGAAAAGTTTGGGAACCACTGCACTTTGGTTCCCAAAGTTGGGCTTGGGACCCAATTATGGGTCATGAAGCACCTTGGATAATCTCCAGAAATCAATTTAAAGGGTAATAAAATAATTGCTGATGTAATATGTTCCCTATAATTATTACAAAAACACAAAATAAGTAAAAAATAATATTTATATTTGTGTACAAGCTGTTCAGATTGTCAAAAAGCCTGTGTTTTTAAGGTTATTAATGAAGTTCATGTACTCAGACCAGTAATATTTGGGGTCACAAGTTTTGGCCATGGATATTTTGTGGGTCAGTAAAAAGTTTGGGAACCACTGCACTAAAGTGTAGCTTTTATAATTGTTTTGTAAACACGAAACAAACCTTCCAAAAATAAAACCTTTACATTTATTATTCCAATAAAAAAATAAATTCCTTCACCAAAGACTGCAGAAAAGCCTTTTTTTTTCACAAATAAACTTGTTGTAATTCTTAAATTAGATCACACCGACAGATTTTGGGTTTCATTTTCATGACTTTATAACCTAAAATAGCAGATTGATAATTACACAGCTGCTCTGCTGAAGATAGCACTGAAGTATTAAAAACGTGTGAATTTCAATGCTAAAAAGATGAGATGCAAACATGTTTTTCACAGTAAAATCAGAAGGTGCTTACCTGCAAACGTCACTTCGACAGCCTCTGGTTTGGTTCTGCAAAGGAAAAATAATTGAATTAATCATAATCTGTTAGCACCACTGACCTATTTGTAAATGACATGATGAACTTTAGCTCCACAGGTACAAAAAAACCTGAAATGACCCTTTATACAGCTGGTGTATGGTAGTCAATTAAACAATAGTAATGCTTTGTTAACAAGACAAAGAATTTTAGTACTAATGAAAGTAACACTTTTAACGTTAGTTACTTTAACTAYGATTTAGTTTTTCTAATATCCACAAAATAAGTAAAAATTTGTTTTATAACTTGACTGATTTATTTACTTATTGCGCAGCTTTTCTCACTGCAGCGGCTTCAGTCTGCTCAGTGATTTGTGGGCTTAACAAAAGAACACAATCAAAAACAAAACAAAACACAGACATCTTTCTTGGTTCTGAGTGGCCTGTGGGCTTTTTCCCCATGTGCACTCGCTCTCTGATAGCAGGTGTTTGGTCTCACACACACACACAGGTCAGACCTGTCTGTGCACCAGTGATGACGCTCCAATGATAAACTTCAGACACAAAAGTTCTGGAAGGTCTGGGTAACACCGTGTTGCTTCGGTTTCTCTCACTGCCACAGTGAATTAGTGATGTGCAAACACTTGCAGATGTTTATTAATTTGTTACGTGCCATGGTCTGTTGAAAGGTGGGAGAGCTACACTTGAACAACAAGGGAAAGGCTGTAATAATATAGAGATTAGAGGTGAAAGAAAAAATTCTTTTTTTATTGTAAAGAACATGCTTGTCAAATATAATTCAATACATTTTATTTTCTACTTTATGACTATTAATGTTAAAAAAACCTGCCTGTTTTACTTCATATGTGTCATATGTGAGAAAGGAAATGTTGTCTTTTGCAGCAAAAACCAATACATCACGTCAAAAGGGGAAATGCTTCAATTGTAGAAGCGAAATGCCTCAAAGGTATGAGGAAAAATGCCTTGTAATATGTGAAAAATGTTCTTAGAATACTGATAGGAATCTATAACTTGTGTTAACTTCCCTAAAGATAAATTCAACAATCATCAGCTTAAACATTTACAATCAGTAAATGTCTGAAGCCTGATTTGGATTATTATTACTATTATTTTTGTAGCTTTCCCATAAAATATATTCAGTTTAAAGCCATAATTGATAGACTTTTTAAACACTTGATGTTTCATACTCATAAAATAATCTATACACGCTATACCAGGAGAGTAGATTTACTAGACTGCAAGCTAATGCTGTCATATGTTTCCTAACAATTCAATCTCCTAAAGCTTTCAGTAAATAGTACTTTATAATGTACTGTGCAACACTTCAGTGCTAGTATGTAATGTCTGTAGTAAATGAGCTCTTTGCAGCTGGATGCTGCAGAGACTTGTCTGAGCAGCTGGTGCAGAGGCAGGAGGACCTACAAAGACCTGACTCGACCTGACTACAGGAATGCGGAAGCTGGAAACAAGAGCTGCTATACGGCTGTGCAGAATCGAGGAAATCACTCTAATAGCTCTTTATTCTGCGTGGAATTATCAGAAGTGACCAAACTTGTGTCGAAAACTGTTTTATTTCCTGCCTAATGAAAGGGGAACTTCTTCATTTGAGCCATAAATGTAATGTGGATATTGGTGGGTTACTGACAATGTATTTTCATAATTGAAACAATTTGCTTAATATCTGCAAGGCCAGCGGTTGCAAATTTACATAAAACGATTTATTATCTTCAATTAGAAATAGGAGTATTGCCGGGTGGGGGTTATCCTGAACGGGGTTACAGTTTTTGACACAACACGGCCAGTGCAGACACACCCCAGCTTCAGGCAAAGCAGCCCCGGCGAGCTAAACGGCTAACTCGGCGAGGAATACCTCACTCGTACAGGTGTATGGGAAACAGGAATGCGCTGCGTTGTGAACTTTTATCGGCTACRGCTTTAAAATCAGCCGTCATCTTCGTTGAAATGCTAAAGTGGGGGGGAAGCTAGCTGGCGTTAGCAGGTCTCTCACCCATTGGATGCGCCGTCGAACTTCAACGTCAGCGTCTCCTCAATGATGCGGTTATTAATTTCTAACAGGATCATCGCAGCGGACGCCGGTGCCGAGGAAGAGGGGGTATGAGTGGTGCTGTTTGGCGAATTTAACCCCTGTGAGTTAAATACTGTCAATTTTTTTCTCTCCCTCCCCTGACAGACCAGACCGCTTCCGTCGAAGCTCCTTCCGACTGCAGCTTCCGCGTACTTCACTCTCAGGACCCCAAAATGATTTGGGTGGCCAAAATATTGCCTGTTGTAAATTTTGTCGATTTTGTCTGTTTTTCGGGATTCAGATCATTTGGCTTAATTTACCATAAAAGAAAATAAGTCTTCTGGCTCTCAAACGATCCTTCACTTAGTTCTAATGAGACAATGCTAACCTCAGCTAGTTTACCATTTATATTTTATACAGCTAAATCAAGATTTGATATTTGATAAACCTATGTATTAGGATTGGGCAAAATTGACAAAATGAATCAAGATTAATTGGGGTATTTAGCCAATAACAATTAATATGATGATTAATCACCTGGAGTCCCTGGACGCCTGCACGTCCACAGTTTAAATCACTAAAGATTTGCTTTCCCTAAAATATCTTTTCCAAAAGTCTGTGTCAAAAGTAACAGACTTCAGGCTATACATCAATTTTTTAATTGTGTTGATATACCAAGTATAAAACCAGAGTTTATGTTACATAAATTACATAAATACATACAGAAATAGCAGCATTAATTGTATTTATCGTCAAGTGCCAAAAATAATCGATAAGTAAGCAATCAACATAAGTTGAAGTCAGCCCACTTGACATATTTCTTATACAATAATTTTATTTGGCGTTTGATGTAAAAAATATTAAACTTAAAACTGGGATCCTGGTTTGTGATGCCACCTGATTGGTTGCACAACACTAACACAGTCCACGGGAAACCTCACTTCTTGGTTAAGCTGTGTGA